TCAGTTGACACACTGCGCGAATTCATCGGAGATGAAGTAGTCCAATTCATTTAAATCTGAACTATTCAGCGGTCAATCATCTTTATCTATGAACAATAGAAAGCTTTCCCGACACCATTTTTATGTTACGTGATGAACGTGATGTTCCACACCGTCCTATCAAAATGTCTAATATTCTCCAAAGGTCTTATTTCCATATTTAAGTGCAATTGAAAAAACTTTCTGGATATATTCAACATGATCTGCTGTTCCTTGTGAGGAAATTTCTGTTTCATTTTGATAGCACTTTTTCATTTCCTTCATCTCGACTGGCAATCGAAATACGTTGATTTTGGGATTTGTATTTACCGTCGAGACCAAACATTCTTTCACTTGAAAATAAGATGCGCATCGTTCTCTCTTTTCGCAAGTTATTAGCGATCCAGTTTTAGTTCGATTATCATCTTCTAAACATGAAGTTTCAGATCTTCTTTCAATATTCGATTTGGACTTGATTTGGATATGTCGTATTCTTATGGCAAACATCGTACTTATATCATCTTCTTTTGATCGAGTTTATGCTTAGTATTTTGGATCGTTTTATGGGTTCGAGTAGAACATGGAACATCTGAAGGTGTTGATATCTGGATAGAACTGGTGTCACGAATCATTTCACACCATCGTTTAATAGTACTTCATGCGAAAGAACCATTTAAATCAAAAACGATCTCGTTAGGGTCATCACTATCTTCGTATTCACATAAAATTACTTTTTGAAGATCTTTACTTGTCATCTTATACCAAAGGCAAAATACGTTCGAATGAAATAAGAAACATAGGTTTTTGTAGACGATAAAAAGATGGATTTTTTTGAAAAAATTGATCCTGAACGGATCTGTTTTGATAGAGCTATCAGTAAAATACTGAGAAGTTTATTCTTGCTGGGACATCCATTAATATCAAATTGGTTGTGGGTGAGTAGAAGTCGGAGAAGTGTGGTTTTTTTTGTTCCACATTCACATTCACTTACACACACACACATTCACATCCATACTGATAAATCTAAAATCTTAGCTGACAGAAATTATTAGTCTATATAGATTCCAACTTTTTATTATTTGTAGTTAGCTATTCTATCAATTTTGAAAATACGTACTGTGAGCAGGATAAGTGTAAGTAGATGCAGCAATAATGGTGTCAGTTATAATCTATACACTCCTTCTCTATTGTGCACACTGATTCCAGTACCCACACTCGTCGAATCCGATGATGATTCTAAAACTCAAAAACCCAATTGGTTCTAATGCATAGTGGTATCTGGTAAGCTCCTATGAAATTTGACGTTCCATTAGTCATCATGTCGCTTTCGAACTTAGGAGGGATGTCGCAGTTAGATCTGATCCGATATTCATAGAAATCCGATCGTCAGACTTGAGTATCATTCTGCAACTCAGAATCTCATCGAATTTTATCTGATGGTTGGATTATATCGGATCTAATAGGATTCATTATTGAACTCAATCACCTGAGTAATTACATATTTCTCAATACGATATAAGAATATTCCTGAGTGTACAACACTAAAAGACATTTCAAACAGTGGATGCATGAATATTCATGTTAAGTATGAATCAGAAAACAAACATCATATACCAATTACTTCTTACTGATTGTTTACTGTCCTAATACTTACTAGATTAATAAAATTACCGATCAGTGAAGCGATTGCCAATAATCAGCGCACAGTGGGAAAGTAAAAAGAGTAATTGATAAGTATTTTTTATCTAAAATAATAAAGGAGACCAATTGAAAGGAAAGAATTTCAGTCATCACAGTTTCACAACTACAATAATCATGAAATGAAATTGAAAGCCATTCAACGAATGAAAAAAAAATTAAAAGTGCAGCATCACTTCGAGTTCAACTTGTACTTTGACATCTTATATCTCTCTCAGCAATGTAAGTAGTCTGGCGAACAAACAACAGAGAGAACATGGTTGTGGATGCGGACGGACAAATGCGAGGTGTAGGTTTGGGACGAATCTTCAGCTACAAGTGTTAGTTTCTATAAGCATGTATAGATCTATTATGCACTCTGCTCACGCACTTCCCTGGATGTTTCTGAATGCTTACAACATAATGCATATATCGTATAGCGCAATGCAGAAAATACTCTTGGTTGAAGGTGTGGATGTGTGTGTTGTGAGAATGTTCTAATCGATGATGAGATATGGATATGAGTTTAAATTATTAATTACGTAAATACACCCACAGCTATATTCACCCTCGGTGTAGATGGGCATGTTCGTGTCTATTTTCGCGACTCATACTCAGCCAGAGGAATATACTAGTTTAAAATGTGAAATTGGCTACCTACTGCAAAGTCGAAATACACTAACGATTTTTTAACACTACATCGATTATGGGAAAAAATGCCTGGGTCTTAACCTTATTGTTGTTAACGAAATATAAGCGATCTTGTGTATTTTCCAAAAAAAGTATATATGTTCAAAAAAAGCAACACACAAAAATGATTGAGCTAGAAACAACGGGTGATGCAAAAGTTCTTGGAAAAATGTCAGACTCGGTTGTATTTGAACGGAGGGTGACAGAAAGCTAATTCTTTTTTTGTTAGATAAAGCATCATTTCTACTTTGAAAGGACATATTTCATAGACTTATATGTATACACTAGTAGCAAAATTCATTCGATTTTTCTGAAATCTCTAAAAAACGTAGTGTAAATTTCTGCAATTCTGCTTTTGCCTTCTTCGCAAAAAAAAGAATATTTTGCCTTAGATATAACATTTTGGGTTGATTTTTGCAGGCTATATACAACATGGCATAAGCTTTTGCACACATACAAATCATTGCCAAGCTTGATTATTATCATCTACTTTTGGCAGGGAAAACTAATTTTTACTTTTTCGAAAATTTGCTTGTATCAATCGTTTAAAAAGCTGATCGCTTTATATATCAATTTTTCAGAAGTATTTAAAACAAGATCGACTACGACAGATCGAGTTTTTTAGGAGCTACAAGACTATGTACAAAAACTTTATTAGATAGTTGAAATTGTAAAGCTTACTGTTGCGCAAACAATTGTAATTTATACTAACATAATTTTAAGAAACTGGATCTTTGTAAAGAAAAATCTGTTTGACGTGATTTTTATATTCTAAGTGAGTCTTAAGCAACCACAAAATGTAGAAGCCGTTCGAACTTACAAGCACATGTCTTTGTGGAGATACACAACTTGTTTATTGTTAAAAATGTTTACAGACGGCTTTTTAGGAGTTTCAGAAAAATCGAATGGATTTTGCTACTAGTGTATACATATAAGTCTATGAAATGTATCCTTTTAAAGTACAAACGATGCTCTATCTAACAAAAAAAAGAATTAGTTTTCTATCACTCTCCGTTCAAATACAACGGAGTCTGACATTTTTTTAAGAACTTTTGCATCACCCGTTAAGAACAAGGATAAATCGATAGAAAATGTGTCGTTTTCATATTCAAACTCTAGCATCGTCATTATATTCTCGCATTCTCCATCTTAGGATGCTAAAAACAGTTTTCCATAACAGGATGAATGAACATCTCCAAAATGATGGTGAACTAAAAATAAGAAAGAAATTAAAATTAATTAGATTTATACTAACCAATGTTCTTCTCATGTACATGCACGCATGTGAAATTAACTTACTATCTTTAGGATCAGTCTTGAAGCAAAGCCAGCAGAAAGAAATTCCACATTTACACTTAACTGCATTGCATCCTTCGTATCGGTCAATTACTTGTTTACACGAAGGACACGGTTTAAGTTTCAAATTTCCTATGAACCCAATATAAAAAAGTAGTAAAAGACTTTTTATTTCAAAAGATACAAACACTTACCTATATTCATCGTTAATTCTTTTTCGTCGTTTTTTAGTTTTAAAACTTTTTGATATTGCTCACACGTTACACCCATATGAAACTCTACTTCACATTTAGTACAATAAGTTTTAAGACATGTATCACAAAAGTATGATTGTGGATGTCTAGATTTACGGTAAACCTAAATTAAACGAAGTCAAATTTCATTTGAATATTTTAAGTATTGCTCGTTTGCAAAATAGATAGTAGTTTTTTTCAGATGAAATTCGATTTTAAAATACTATTCGTCTTTTTTTTAACGGCATGTGAAATGAAAATAAGAAGATAGTTCTGCTGAGATGAACATAAGATTGTAAAAACTTCCAAGAGTATGATATTCTCTTGAACGATCATTTATTTACAAAGCACTAAATTCCAGTAAATTTTATTTCATTTTTCATTTCTAATCCATAGCATTAGATGCAATAGGCAGAAAATAAAAATATTTTGTAACATATTTTTTTCGCCTTTTTTTTTGCCGATTATCTTAGTCACTATTACATCTAAACAATATCGATAGCCCTATTTATAAGAAAATCCTTTTCTTACTTGCTTACAATCTGTACTCATACATTGAACAATATCCATATCTGTCTTAAGAAAAGCTTGAAATGATGCACGTGCTAACTTAGACATATTTTCTCGATCAATTATTGTTTTGATGTCTCTCAGTGAAAGTACTGAATTACATTCTTGCATTACACATTTAATCTTAATGCTTTCATTGCTAAGTGTTGTATCAAACTTTCTTGATAATTCTTGTTTAAGGCAATTTAAACACGAAATATGTCCACATGCTTGTAAAGTATAATTGGCGATCTCACAACAAATTGGACATTCATTGTTGGTCGTAGTTGCATTGTTGTTATGCAATAATTGCTGTTCTGTAAGTGTAGCTGACCAGTTCTTCTTAATTGCTTCTTCAGCATTTATGATATTCTGTTTTTTACCAGTAATTTGTATTTGACGTTTAACATCTGATATATTTATTTTAACATGAAACTCCTTTCCAATCGTATCTTGATAATTTGTACTCAATTTTAATACATGTCGGATGTAACCTTTAAATAGAATAAAGAATAATCGACTCATTATAAACGCTAGAGAGAATATATTAATAATGTCGACTGATAATTACCTTTGGGAATGTCTAATGTGATTGTAAAATTTCTATTATTTAAAATATTCTCTATATATTCATCTATACGTGCTGCAGCTATATCAGGTGCTTGATTATCGCCGTAAATTCGTAGGAATGAATCTGAATAACAGCAGCATATATAAGTACCAGTTTCGTCTTGAATCTTTTGTAATGCTGTCGTGCCATCATGATCAAAAATAAATCTTGTCTACAAGAGATCATCGAAATTAGTCATTTTTAAGAAATCTACGTGTCCCAAAAAGAAAAACTAAGAAGTAAGTGCCTCTAACAATTCAATCATTGTTTTCACCAAATCTATTGAATTCTAAGTAATCGATTATGCTGATTTTAAATATGAATATGAGAAGCACAAGTAGAACTCTTGAGGCTTCTTTCTTGAAAGCGAGTTGTTCATTGTCAAAAAAGTTTTCATTTTGGAATCATTCTTGTTCTATAACCGTTAGAAGATTTTTTCGATGGTCTACGTAGTCTTACGTACCGATGTTGTACTACTACTCAGACTCAACAAAATCAAATTAACTAGAAGTTTGCAAAAGCCAGTAGTTGAACAACAAGAAGCTTTTCCTTGTATAACTTACTTTCTCTCTATCGTCTTTGTATCTATATTCCATTCCTTTCATCAATGTATCAAATGCAACTTTAGCCATTGTGATCTCTTGTATATCGTCACCTTCGATACGTATTTTCATTGCAGCTGTTTTTTCATCCATCCCTAGAGACGTAACTTTGATACGAATTCTCTTACATTTCTCGCGACCATATTGAAT